TTTCGTGGCAATACCGAAGATGTAAATTCTTCCAAAAATCTTGGTAATTTTCTGCCCTTGCTGAAACATTATGATGAAATACTGAGAGCTCATTTGTATCATCCCAAAGCAAAAAATGCTACATATTTATCTCCCCGCTCACAAAATGACATCATTAATGTCATGGGATATGATGTAATTCGAGTAAATTTTTTGATGAAGTAAAAAAGGCTGAATTATATTCTGTTCTTGCTGATGAAGTGTCTTCTCATAATGTGGAATATTTACCAATATGTCTCTACTTTGTAGATGACAACTGTAAAATTAGGGAAGAATTCATCGGCTTTGTTAAGCTAAAGAAGATCAGAGCAACATATATTGTATGTGTAATTACAAAGATATTGACTGATATTGGATTATCTCCAAATGAATTGCAGGTTCAAGGATATGATGGAGCATCCACCATGGCTGGCAAAAGGTCTTGTGTCCCAAAACAAATTAGAGATATGCACAGCAAGGCCTGGTAAACTCATTGCACGGTCACTCACTTAATCTTGCTATTATAAATTCATATTCAGTTCTACTAATACGAAACTGTATCGATGAAGTTAAAGGAATAAATATTTGGATTAAATCCTCACCTATACATAGGGAACTATTTACGGCAATATATCAAAGGGCATCCAGCATGAAGCAGCTTCATCGCGTCTCCCACTATCCAATATGTTCATTGCACACTGGGTTGAGAATATTGAAGGTTGAGAAAAGTTCTGTTTATATCATCCATTCTCATTTTCACGTGTTGGAGGTTATAGTGTATGAGATGATAGTTTTGAAATGTTTAATGACAAATGAGCTGCTGAAGATAAGAAAAATACTATGACTTATCCAAAAATACTGGAATTCTTTGAGCTTTACATCGTTTACTTTACTATTTGAAATAAGCTTCTGTAAATTTGCAAGATCCAAGCTAATACATTGTTTCTGGTATTTCCCTAATAGAACAATACTGTAAGTAACTGACTTGACTAAGAGAGAACGTAGATGATTATTCACATCGTATTTTCAAGCACAGCGGTAATATTGCAAAGAAATCTAATATTCATGTTAGTATGCCACGAGTTAGCCAACGAGAAGTCCAACGTGCAAATGCAGAATATAGTTCCCTGAAGGACTACTTTGAGAAAACAGTAACAACTCCTTTTCTTGACCAAATCATCAGTAATCTTTCCTCCAGATTTGATGCACATGTAAAACAAGCTATATCAATTCAGAAACTTATGTTATCAAAACTCACAGAAGAGTTTTTTTTTATCTCTGATATCAGACAAGCTATAGATTTTTACAGGGAAGATTTACCAAATCCTGATATTATTGCTGAAGAACTTCCTCGATGGAAGACAAGATAGCTTTCTATACCTCTCCAGATACTTGCAGAATGCCTAAAAGCGTGCTTCAGTGTACCAACTATTTTTATGTTACTGAAACTCTTTGCCATTCTGCTACTAAGTTTATGTTCATGTGAACGTTCGGCATCTGCTCTCCGCAGGTTGAATAATTACCTGACGTGTACACAAACCGAAGAAAGACTGAGTGCTCTAGCATTATAACACTATTATCAACATTGAAAATGTATGTAAGTTATTTATTGAAAAGCACCCCAGAAGAATAGAGCATGCTAACATGTTATTTCAGTAGTGCATACGTGTACATATATGATAAGCAAAGACTGAAATTTATACTATTGTTGAAGAGATATTTAAATTATTAATACAATTTAACAATTAATAACTGCTATACATGTAGATTGTACAGTACTATAATAAAACATACATATTTATGTTAATTTAAGTCTATCTCCCATGCAATGTTACAACAGAATGGTGATTTGTTGACTTTTCATTGGATGTTTGTGGATTTTATGTGAACAGCTATGCAACAATTTAAGCTATATTTCATGCAAAATTGCTTCCAGATTTAATCTCATAACACCTGGGGGAAGCATACCCCCGTACCATTAGCATGTTTTGCATGTTGATTCTACTTCGAAAAATATGTGTTGGCTTTCGATCTCACAAATTAGAACCCCCTTTTCAAACATTTTGCATTGTGGCATGGACGTCTAATTAGCCTTGGCTAATAACATCTTAGTTTGTCACACAGCACTTAGTAGACCACGTATAACTGGTCCTCGCTTTAAATCAGCGTGATACTGGTGTGAAACGCACTACACTGCTGAATAAGGGATACTTGAAGGAGAAGGAAAGAACTGGTGAAATTAAAGATATGAAATGGTCAGCCCAAAGTACGATTGCCAATTCAATTGACATTTTATATTCTTAGTTAAAGAGTGAGAGTGTAGAAAAAAGCTAACTTTGGGAGATTGTGCAACAAGAATGGAAGGAAACACTGGTCGATAGTTTTAACAAAAGTGATAGCATCCACGTCCGATAGGTGTCGCCGTACGGTTAAGGATGTAGACCTTCCAAATTTTAGTTAATGAGTTCGTTATATCCTAAACTTACATTCTTATGCCTAATTTACACAAAATCACCTTTCTCTAACAACCGTTCATGAATATTCATGCGTTGATTCTTTGGTTCTAGATTTCCGACCGATACTGTAAGTTTCTTCAATATCTTATAAGTATGATGCAGTATTCCAGTTTTCGCAACAGCCGATGTTGTAGTTTCTAGCGGATACAAAATTTGAAATAAAATATTAGCGCTAAATAATTCATTACAATCGAATTTCAATATTTTTATTTTTATGTCTATTCGTTCAAGAAATGCCATCCGTTATACGTGATTTGTTTGCTGGTTTGTGTATGTTAGTACCACTTGGCATTTGGTAGAGAATTTTGATTTTTCTAAAAGACAAAATCATCAAGGTCTAATGGAAGGGTGTACAGGATTCATATTTCTATGGCTCCAGTAAAATGTCCTTTATAGTGTGTTAAAAATTCGTATAGTTTAACGCAGATTAGAATTTGGAGCTATATGTAAATTACAGAATCGGTTGGGATGAACAGTGTACTGAATGTTATGAAAACCTTTTCTTTTTTTCGCTAATGGATATGTACAGTAGGAGAGAATAACAAGTGCTATATTAAACTTCAGCCTCATAACAATGAAAGAGTTAGCTACTTTTTATTTACGTAAGAGTATAGACAAACAAATATATCATTGTATAAATCAGTCGGAAACACACTGATTCAGTCTGAAAGATATGTGAGCACTGCTTGTGGTAAAGACAAACAGACTAGGTTTTTTCTTTATTTTAAAGCTTAGAGTATAAACAAGTAAACACGCCCACTTTAGAAAAATCAGTCGGAAACATAGTTGCTCGATATATATGTTAATGTAAGCACTTAAGTACACAGCTGCGAAATTTGTATCAAGAACCAGAGAGAAATCTTAAAGAAAAAATCAGTGAGAAAAGAAAGATTAAAAATTGCCCATAATAGCACCTTGGCTATTGTATATCATATAATCCACTGTATATATTGTAGATATTTCAACAAAATAAGACAATAGATTTTTATCATAATTCTGAAAATATTTTTTTCGTATTGTAACACAATGTAAGGAAACAACGTGTTAAAAATAATGCATAATTGCCTTTAATCGCATATCGATATTTTAGTAACCTATAGTAGCTTGAGAAGCCATCAAAGTTAAGTGTAAATTTCTAAAAATAATATTGATTTATGTTTATTATTTTCAAGTTAAATAAAACTGTTATTAATTAAAGCTCAATTCAAAAACAGTATTTCTCAGTGAAAATTGGAAAGTTACTGTAGTCCAGGCATGGCCTAGTGGTTAGCGTATTCGGACTATGAATCTAATAATGCATGGTTCGCGACCCATTGACGTAAAAACGTGTTAAATACTGTGGGGTCGTGAGTGCAGTTAGAGTTAAAGATAGCTCTAGAGTTAGCGGTGGTTGATATTGACTAGCTGCTCTCTCTTTATTATATTAATTCAAAATTAAGTCTGGCTATGTGCAAATAGTCCTATATGTAGTTTTACAAATAGCTTTGTGCAAAAATTCCGAGATGAACAAATCAATTTAACTCTAAAAATTGCAATAGATCGGCTTAATAGATTCTTCTGTACTATTTATGTCCCAAATTAATGGTGGGTCCACGATTTTGTTGACTACAAAACCCCAATAACAGAATAACCTGGTGGTTCAACGGTAACTTGAGCAGTTATAACATAACAGTTTTGGTTCGATATCCGCAGTAGGCACACAACAGACAGCCGATTGTACAGCTTTGCGATTAACAACAAACACAACAACCGTCAATATTGCAACTGAACCAACTAATTATGTAGAAAAAGGATGATTTCACCTATTTTTTTGTAAATGTTTTACACTAAATATTGTAACGGGCAAATGCATAAAATTACTCACTATGTGGATTCCATTGACAGTGAACATAAAAAAAAAAACAATTCGGAAATTTGAAGATTAACAAACTATACTATTTACAGATATATTTTCTTGACAGGCATTGACAGCCTCGGACAGTGACCATGGTGTCTTTGTGTAGCAGATATATTCTCAATGACTGGCAGACCTTACATCCTACGTACTTGAAAACTATTTTTTCTTGTTTTGTTTGTTGAATTTCACGCAAAGCTAATCGAAGGCTAAATACTAAATCATTATAACGCCACCACGGCTGAAATGGCGAACATGTTCGGTGACAGGATTCACTCTTACCACCTGTGTTCTTCTTCTTCTTCTTAATTTTGAAAAAAACAATAACAAAAAAAAACAACACTTAACTTCCTTGAACATAATTAAAATAAAATGAAAATAAATGCTTCAGTTCATGGTTAATTTGATTTTTTTTAGCGTTAAGCTATGTAGAGTTATTTGCCTGGATTTTTAAAAATATGCTATTTTAGTTAATTAACTTAAACATAGATAGCGCTACTTTAAACTCGCCAACTGTGACGTATCTAGTATAACTACAATTCAGTTTCCCATATTACTGTTACCATAAGCAACCCTCGTTCTACTGAGTGGAAAGTATTCACTGGAATACAAAAATTAGTCGATCGCGTTGTGTTTGATTGCTTATAAAACACCATTCTTGTATCACAGACTGACTATAAGCGATTTCATTCTTCATTTTGGTGGTGGTTTCATGAGAGCTACGCCAAAGATTGTCATGGTGACGCTCGAACTGTCAGCTTTTCTGCTCTTCACATTTTGAACAGAACCATTGTGGCGCCAGTGCCTCTAAAGTGCTGTTGGTGTGAAAACCATCGTGAAATCATCTCTATGGGAACCGCCCTAAGATTCCCAATCGTTAGTTATTTGACGGGAAAAAACAACGTGTTTCAGTTTCACCATGAGTGCTTCGGCAGAGGAGGATTCGGAGGTAGGCTCATGTTTCTAGATTGCTACTATATAACGATGCTCGTGATTCTCATCACTCGGAGTAAATCACTATTCAACGCGTAAAGGCGACTTCACTGTGTAAACAGTTAATGACATTCACGATAGCTTTTCCGGAGTTGTATTAAAAATTTACAAAAGTGAACATAACGCTCTTACTTCGATTGCCATTAGTTACTAGACGAATAAAAAATATTTATTAGTTAATAAAAAAATTGGATTACGATTTAAAACTTCTAAAAGTTTTTAAGCACATTTTGAAACCAATCTTACATTGAAAACAACTAATTTACAACTTTTAACATACCTTAGTGAAATTATTCTAGTCAGTGAAGAATCCTCAACCGTCTTCCTAACAAAAACATAAAAGTGACTGCTTATTGAACTACGTCTCTTTTCATGTATAGAACGTGACTGCTTATTGGACTACGTCTCTTTTCATGTATAGAACGTGACTGCTTATTGGACTACGTCTCTTTTCATGTATAGAACGTGGCTGCTTATTGGACTACGTCTCTTTTCATGCAAAAAACATGACTGCTTATTGGACTACGTCTCTTTTCATGTATAGAACGTGACTGCTTATTGGACTACGCCTCTTTTCATGTATCGAATGTGACTGCTTATTGGACTACGTCTCTATTCATTTCTTTAATATCAGTAATATAATATTGGCTTCTTATGGGTGGATTTTATTGTTATATACATATACCAATTCTTACATGTTTTCATCAGTTGATTTAGCGTAATTTCGAAATTACCAGTTGCTGTATTTAAATATGTTCGAGAACATCGATGAAAATCACCCTGCTTTATACTTGGTTTGTTTGTTGAAAAGTAGTCTCTCTAACCTCCATTTTTACACATACAATTTTTGTGTATATTTCTTTATTTTACACAAACAAGTGAAAGTGAAGAAGAATAGTTTTAGAGAGCTGTGTTAGACTCGAATATTGAATCGTCTTGGAAGTTTCCTGTCGAGGTCTAAACCACGGCACCCGATCAATAGCACAACACAAGGTGCAGCGGGTGCTGGCCAGGTCGATACCATGCTGTTATTTCCCCTCTTTTCACCTGTGAAACCACGTACCAGGCAACGCTGTTAACTAGCTTCTCTTACGTAACTTTCCTTTTTTGGCCGTTGTCGAGAATATAAGAAAAAAAAATTACAGTGATTGAGATTGTACATCTAAATTGTTATTAACTTTTGATTTTTTTTAAAACTCAGGAGGTCAAGCCTGGACAAGGAAAACTCATAAAGGTCGTTTAAGAACTAGGGTAGTTGAATATTTTAAGGGCTCAAAAGGCATTTTTCAAGTAACAGCACTGTAATTTCAACATCGAGAATGCATGAATTCCGAATTATCTGCATTCAAGATTAACAGTTTGTTTTCCTTGAACACAGGCTACAGAGGAAGAGGCCTACTGACATATCTGTAAGTAAAATTCCCAACTGAAAGGAACACTCCTATCTGGAAAATCGAATTATGTAAACGCACATACTTTTCGAAAAACATGACAAGTCAATTCAGGGAAATCCAAAATTTAAAGCAATTCCGATGTCGCCAAAACATTTTTAAGGGAAAGCAGGTGAAGACGCACACACACACAGAAGGTATTTTTGAGTCAAGCAAGACAGTTGAAAAAAATTCCCAAGATTAAGGTTTTTTCAATTTTCCTGCAAAAGATTTGGAAATAAACTAATCTTGAGGTATCATTGTTTTCCGAAATAGTTGATTCTAAAGATAAAGGTATTTGATTCTATATTTTTTCTTGGAGAAATTTACGAGGTTACATTGGAAGAAGTTGAACAAATAAGTAGGAGTTAAAAATTAATTATGTGCAATATAACTCCGAAAAACTTACTGCTCTATATTCTACGACAAAAGCTTATTTTATTATAATGTGTATGTGACAATTGTACTGACAAAACTATGAAAGCAAACACCTCTAATAGTACACCATGATGTTTATTGTATGCAAAAGTGTCAAGAAAGAGGAATTTATAAGTGTTTGTTCTAAAGTGTTATTACTCAGTGAGTGTGTGATAGGTATTGCTTTTTTAGTTACGAGTGTCGTTCATTTATTTATGTATATAAATAAACAAATGCAGATAGATATAAATACATAGATAAATCGGCAGACAAACGGGTAGAAGCCAAAGGACTGGTGAGAGAAACGTCTATCGACGACGTAAAGGAAGTTGAAAGTTCTAAGTGTTACTTAGGGAATTCATAATCAAATATTCTGATAATACTTCATGATTTTCGTGTTTTGATTTTATGAGGCTTGCTCATTTTAAAAGTTTATGGTGTTATGATATTAACAAAGAAAGAAAACTGGTCATTATAACATAATTTTTGGGACGACGAAATTGATTTTTTTTTGGGGGGATTAACCTGTTCGGAAAGAATATCATGAACTGAAAAAGCAAAATAAAGAATAATTATCACGCTCGTTTGCTGTGTGAAAATTTGAATTACTTATATTTATTGACTTTTGTTTATTTGCTGTTGAGAAAAACTGTACATTGGACTATATACATTGTACCCGCCCACAGGATCGAACCCTTAATTTTAGAGATATAAGTTACCAAGCTCTCGGACGGGATATATTTATTGGATTAGCTCTATTTGCACAGTGCTCTACTATTAACACCTTTAATTCATTTTGTTTGAGTAAGCCTAAAGTTCAGGTTTATTAATAACCAGTGAACTTTAAATGGACTAATGATTAAAACCAAATTTTGATAAAATAAAAGTATTTTTTGAAAATTTAAACCTCTTAGATTTAAAATTGGTGCTATGTCAGATATTAGATATAGTTAAAATGAATTTGGAATATGCCAAAAGAGTAAGCGAGCTCTGCATACCGCGAGTATCGAACACCGATTTCGAGCGTTATAAGTTTTCAGACTTACTAAATCACTGGGGAGCGAGAGACAACTAAAACACATGTTGAAGTGCAGATAACTATTTGCTTATTACCATGTTAAGTTAATAATTTGAATATATTCATTTAGAAATCTTCAATTATTGAAATTAGTTTTACAGTTTTTTATTTACGTCTCCCAGTGAGTCAGCGGTAAGTTTCTGGACATACAACTTTAAAACCCGGGTTTCGATTCGCTGCGGTGGATAGAGCACAGATAACACATTTTGTAGCTATTAGCTAAGAAAACCCCCCAAAATAATCCACCAACATTTGTTTTATCATATAGATAATACTTTATAGTTTAATATTTCTGTGCTTATTTGTTGTCACCCTCGTTAAGAAATTGTTAATTTTGTGCGTGTGTCGGGGGGAGAAGGCAGCTTTTGAAACATTTAATGAAACATAGGGGTCTCTTCTATTTATCAAGAAACACGCACTAAACATCAGTTTTGATAATTTGCTTTTCTGCTCCAATCCATTCTAAACCACTGCATTTTTTAAGAATTGCTTCTGAGATCCTAACAGGTGGCAATCACAATAGGAATGAACACATGGAATATTTGCACACGAGAAGGTAAGGTAAAGTATACCTACGTTTTGATTACTATCTTTGTGTACAAGACATAAGGCTAAAGCAACACTAAGGTTCCAGAATAAAGTTTTTCGTTTTGCTACTTTCGCCCTAGAAAATCAAAACGCTTATCAATGTTACATTTGGCGTACGGTTTTTGATAAATTTCATATAAGCGGACATTGACGATATAACCAAGAAAATGACAATAAAAAATGTTAGCGAGTCTTAGTTCAATACCATTATAGCGTTTCTAAACGGGTCATAAGTTTAGAGTTTGATCTGTTTGTCAATGTTTTGGAATTGTATTCACAAAAATATTCTATTGAATAAAAATTTGGTTTTACGTATTTTTCAGATTTATCTTAAATTTGTTTTTTGAAGTGTTTTACGTGGCTACGATACGAAACTGGCCTGACTGTTTGAGATATAAGTCTTCTGCTTTAGATTCTTTGTGGGTGTACTAAAAATAATTTCTGAAACGAAAAAGGGGAAATTAAAATGAGAAACTATTCATATTTTAACGCGACATTCATACTTTTTTACTACTTGACAATTTTTCTAGTTGGATGTCAACACTAGTGGATTTCCACTGTTCTATTCTGGTCTACCAGTGAACGTTAGAAAAGAAAGACGTAGAACTTTATTATTCAGAATAATTAAGTACAATCTTCAAATTGAAAGATCAGTTATATTTCTGTGATGAATTTTAAAATGTTACCTGAAAATATATACTGGAGAATGTTCTCAGCACTAAATGTTACCTGAAAATATATACTGGAGAATGTTCTCAGCACTAAATGTTACCTGAAAATATACACTGGAGAATGTTTTCAGCACTAACTGCTACCTGCAAATATATACTGGAGAATGTTGTCAGAACTAAATGTTACCTGAAAATATATACTGGAGAATGTTCTCAGCACTAATTGTTACCTGAAAATATATACTGGAGAATGTTTTCAGCGCTAAATGCTACCTGCAAATATATACTAAAGAATGTTGTCAGCACTAAATGTTACCTGAAAATATATACTGGAGAATGTTCTCAGCACTAATTGTTACCTGAAAATATATACTGGAGAATGTTTTCAGCACTAATTGTTACATGAAAATATATACTGGAGAATGTTGTCAGCACTAAATGTTACCTGAAAATATATACTGGAGAATGTTGTCAGCACTAAATGTTATCTGAAAATATATACTGGAGAATGTTGTCAGCACTAAATGTTACCTGAAAATATATACTGGAGAATGTTCTCAGCACTAATTGTTACCTGAAAATATATACTGGAGAATGTTTTCAGCACTAATTGCTACCTGTAAATATATACTGGAGAATGTTCTCAGCACTAAATGTTACCTGAAAATATATACTGGAGAATGTTGTCAACACTAAATGTTACCTGAAAATATATACTGGAGAACGTTGTCAACACTAAATGTTGCCTGAAAATATATACTGGAGAATGTTT